TGTTTCTTTTTTTTTTTTTTTTTTTTTTCTTTGCCATTACTGTCATTCCTTTCCCTGATATGAAGCAATGATGCCATGGTCCCTGAACAGCTGCAACTCTTGTGCACAATTCACACCCATAAAAATCTGAAACAAGTTAATCTTTCATAGACACTTTGAAAATCCTGAATCAGGAAAAGCAGGGAAAATCTTTTAAAGTTTTGAGCCTCTAGTTGGTTGCTTATAGAAATGTCCTAAATCAGTTCCGACTGAATCAAGCCTTGATGCAACTGCTTTCTAGACATGTTTTACAGACAAAGGTCTTTGAGCAGCTCGTATAAACTCCCAGGCAAAGTCTAAAAGCATTTAAGCAAAAACCTCCAGATTTTATGCTTTCTTGATGAACTGTCATAACAAACTTTCCTGCTGTACATCTCTTTTTATAGGTGCTTGTGATTTGGGGAAAAAGCTCAGGAACATTCAAAATGCTGGTTTGACCTTTTTTATTCTCTCAAGATGAGAGTGTTTCAGTGAGTGAGATTTCAAAATCTGAATGAGATTTCAAATGACTCTTTGAATGCCCACAGCAAAACCATCACCACAGGGAAAGGACTTGTTTGAAAATAAATGCCAAAGGAGAGAGAACTTTCTAAGTCTGCCCTTAGTAGATACAGACATGGGGGACATAGGATGTTTTAAGAATAGGAAAAGGTCATCTTCTGGATCTTTTTTGTCTCATTTAATTATCACATCTGTACTTATCCTTGAACCATCTCAGCCCTTCTTTCTTTCCTTGTTTTCTCGTTTCCTTCCTTTCTTCCTTGTTTCCTTGTTTCATTTCCTTCCAAAGAGTACATGACTCAAGATTTTTGCCTTGATCCATTTATTCTACATGATGCATGGCTGCTAATTCCCTGTTTCATTTTGTTTATTGAACAGGTTGTAATGAGAATGAGGCAGATCACCTGGACAGAGACCAGCAGCCTTATCCCCCATCCCAGAAGACAAAGCGCATGCGCACCTCCTTCAAACACCACCAGCTTCGTACTATGAAGTCCTACTTTGCTATCAACCACAACCCAGATGCCAAGGACCTCAAGCAGCTGGCCCAGAAAACGGGCCTGACCAAGAGAGTTCTGCAGGTAAGAAGCCACATCACAGACTTGATAGAATTTCCCCCTACCCTTGCCAGTCAATAGCATTTCCCTTATGTGTAACTATAACGATATAAGTAGAAATACTTTTGCTAGGTATGTCCCTAGTGGGTGTGCAGGGGGTATGGCATTACATGGCAGGAGTGCTGAACATATGCCCTACCACCCCAAGACAGCCAAATACTAAAATGTGACTTGCAATTAGTTGCATCCTCAACATGAGGAAACTGTCTCCAGAGTCTACCAACCCAGTAGATATCCTGGGATCTGTAGTTTCTCTGTGGTGACCTTATTAAGGGTAGAGGTAGAAAATCTACTAATTTTATACACACTGGGTGAAGCCTTCGGGCTCCCCTGAAGTAGGTAATGTGGCCCCTGAGTGAGTGGATCCCCCAATATGTAGGAAGAAAGCTTTGACCAATATGATCCTGCAGGACCAGCTGGCTCCCTCTCTCAATGCCTGTTAGAGAACTGTTATCATTAAGGGCCTACGTAGTAAAAAGTTACGTAGTAAAAAGTGTGAAGGCCAGCCTAGCAAATTACGTTAAAAAAAAAATCCCTATATGGTGTGTGCAAGCTCAGTAAAGTTAAAATGAGGTGTGTGTTATATGCAGAGTGCCAAAGAAGGGCAGCGATCGAGGTAGAAGGAGAATCTATTAGCGGCAATTCATTGTCTGTGTTACATGTCACCTAAAACATTTTCAGTGAATCTCATAGACCAGAAACTCCAGGTGACCTATATCAACAGTCTGTAGATTGGGATGGTGTAATTACCCCTCCTTCCTCTTCAGTCATTTAAAGCGATGAAAACAAACTTTCAGCCTTGGCAAAAATCTGCTGATTCACCCTTTGCCTCAATCTTTATCATGTGTCTTGACCCCAGACGTACCTACCCAACCCAAGAATATACTACATGGCCACCAAGAAAGTTGCTTTCCTTGGGTGAGTGAGCGAGCAGACTTTTCTTAAGGCTGCTCTATGAGCACACTGGGCTGCAACGTCCCAGTGAGCACCCGTAGCACTTGGCCTTGTATGCAGGGTCCCGCCTGTCAGTACCACCAATAGCAAGTGAAGCTATAGAGTGACTTAGGTGATTTGCCACACAAAAACAAACATCAAAAAATAACTTAAAAGCAAGAACAAAAACAAAAATAAGCAAAACAAAACAAGCATCGGTAAAGAAATCAATTGGGATTGGTTTGCAGGTTTGGTTTCAAAACGCAAGAGCCAAATTCAGAAGGAACCTTTTGCGGCAGGAGAATGGGGGTGTCGATAAAGCTGATGGCACCTCACTTCCGGCACCGCCCTCAGCAGACAGCGGCGCACTCACTCCACCCGGCACTGCGACCACTTTAACAGACCTGACCAATCCCACTATCACTGTAGTGACATCAGTGACCTCTAACTTGGACAGCCACGAATCCGGGAGCCCCTCACAAACTACCTTAACGAACCTTTTCTAACATTTCATTTTTTTTTTTTTAATTCTTACTCTTCTTCTTTATTATTATTATTATTATAATTATAATTATTATTTTTATTATTTTCAAGCCTTTTTTTTTTTTTTTTTTTTTAAATTAGTTAATAACAATTAAAAAGAACCCCACAGTGTTTGCTCACTTTCATTCAGGGGTGGTACTATCTTTCATTAGCATGCATTTGGGTGCCTTTAGCAATTAACCCAGGACTAGATTATGATTGTGTGTGGTGCTGTTGAGACAGGATGCTCTGGACTCCTGAAGTGGGCAGTGAGGTGGGGCAGTATCTGTAATGCTATTACAGGTAATACTTCAGCAACCTTGGAAGATAGATTGTGTGCACTGTGTCAGTAAAGCAATGTAATTTTAATCACCCTGCCCTGAAATTATTTCTCTGCCTCCTGAGAGTCTGTCAGCACAATCTCCAAATCTCAGCCAGGGGTGACTCTGGTGGGTGCACACATTGCTAGCAGCCTCAGGGCAGAACTTCTACTATAACACATCTGCATTTCAGAGTCCAGCCTGTTCTCACAGCTATTTTGTGCATTTCAAGTACTCCAGTGCTCTATATATAGGATATAAGAAGTCTTATATGCCATATTTTTTCTCCGTATAAGGGCATAAGAAGCCTTATATGCTATATTTTTTTCAGCATGCAAGACAGATTTTTTTCCTGTTCATTGTATCTTCCAAAACAAGCCCAATAGAAAAGTGTCAAGACAACATCCTTTTGCTTTACTAACTGCAAGAAGGGCAATGTGTTAGCTGTAGGAGCTGGAGCAGGCATCCAAAGCAATTCAGAGAACAGGAACAAACAAAAGCTGGAATGATCTGGGCTCTCTCCAGCTTCTAAACTCAAAGCTGTACCTACAGCTGCAGGATCTAAATATTTCAGTGGTGAATACCTATTTCTGGAAAATCCCCATTACATAACTGGAAACTAGTATGTAGACACATGTGGAGGTACATACCAGTAGAGGAATGATAAGTAGTCATAACTGTCTTTTTGAAAATATTCCTTCTTACATTTTTTCTGGATACACAGAGCACCAGGAGTCAGA